GGCAGGAGAGAGACAAGGTCGTAAAGACTGCCGACAACCCAGTGTTCTGTAATAGGGACTGCAGGCTGGGGTCAGATCAGAATCAAAACAAAGATTCAAAACTGACGCTGTACAAGGTGGTCAGGTCTCGGACGGGAATCTGCCTTCAGCGAAGGACGCATGGGGAGAGGAGGATGCGACCTACAGCCTGTGTCCCGCGGCCCCGCCTTGTCCTCCTGTTCCCCAAGGCCACGCGGCCGAGGTAGCAGGGTCCCGATCCGCAGGGCAGCCGGGAAATGGAGAGGCCCCTGTGACAGAGAGAGGGCGCTCTGCATGGCTCAGGACTCGGCTGCGCTTTCACTGCCTACAATGGCGACAGCGATACTCCGGTGGTTTTGTAGGACAGGCCCTGGAAAAATGAGCTGAGAAAGGAGGGGTTGGTCAGCTTTCAAAGGCACTTCAGTGAGTCATCAAGGTCAGACTCCGTCCGAGGACACGCAATCTGACTGGAGTGTTTGTCCAAGTGTTCCCAGCTATCAGGTTAAAGAACGACCCCGTTTTTCCAGTCCGACACCCAAGGCGACTCTGGAGCACAGCAAACTCGAAATGCTCTTTCACAAAACCTTCAGCTTCAGCAGACTCTGAAAGCTGCGCCTCCTGCTAAACGGATCACCCTGTCACCTGGGGGAGGTCTAAAGACGGCCGTGCCCTCGCCCTTCATTTCTCCGACAGCCCGAGGTCACCCATACAGAACACCTGCTACTGCGTACAGCCTGCCTTTAGGAGTGGGTACGCCGGCACACCATACCAATGTCTTGGGACCTAGAGTAAACACTCACTCGTTTAAGCATCGCAACCACCTCTGTAAGCAGGCACTCTGTACATGCCTGACACGCGTGTGCGCAGGGTCACGGACGCAGCTCCCGATCCAACACACGGTATTATCAGTCACCTGTCCACTGCGTTACGGTCTTTAGCACACTCACCACATTTTATTAAACAGTAAATGCCCGTTAAAAATATAACAGGAGAGATTTCTTCTAACAAAGTAAAATAAATAGTGTAGTTAAAATTATTTTAACCTCAAAATAACCTTTACATAATGGTTTCGAAAGACTTGTTGGATTCTGCGTTGTTTATAGTAAGCAACAAAACATAGGCCAGCCAATCACGCACCGTGACCAGCGAGGGCCCGACAGCGCCTGCAGTGCGGCGAGCAGAGCCACGCAGGCAGGGCCAGGCACTGGCGGGGCCGCGAGGCTGATGCCTTGAGCACTTGTACGAGGTAGATTTAACCAAATGCCATCTCCCGTTTTTGGTCTCAAAACTATGTCCTGAAGGTAAACAACAGTCAATTTCTCCTCAAATTTAAGTTTTGAAGCTTATTAATAAGCTTAAAGGCAATAAAACATATAAGACTATGTACTAAGGGTCCACACTGAGCAACTTAAAACGTATTATTGGGCCAGCCTGTGGCACAATGGTTAAGGTACTAGATTCCATATGGCCAACCGTGTGGTTCGAGTCCCAGACCCAGTGGCTTGAAAATCACACTGGGTACGTGTGTGTGCGTGTGTGTGCGTGTGTGCGTGTGTGTGTGTGTGTGCGTGTGTGTGTGTGTGCGTGTGTGTGTGTGCGTGTGTGCGTGCGTGCGTGTGTGTGCGTGTGTGCGTGTGTGCGTGTGCGTGCGTGTGTGTGTGTGCGTGTGTGTGCGTGTGTGTGTGTGTGTGTGTGTGTGTGTGCGTGTGTGTGTCCAAAGTCCCAGGAGTATTATGGCGTAGCCAACTCCCCAGGGAGTAATTTCTGATTTTCCTTCCCTCTCTCTTCCTCACTGTCTCTCTACAACACCTTATACCAAAATCTTTAAAAATAAAGACTTTGTATCATTTGCATCATGATTTGCTAACTTTAAAGATAATTTTTTTTAGGTTCTGCTACAGGGTGGGTGTGCTCACCAGAGACAGGGAGAGAGGGAAAGTGAGAAATCCTCCAGCTCTCATTATTTTATTTAGGTATTTACATACGTATTCAGTGATGATTAGCAATTTCAGTGAAGCATTGACAAGTTCATGGGCAACAATCGAGCCTGGGTCCCCAAAGTGTCTAAGGGGCCTCAGCAAACTGGGAACGTGAGTACGGAGCGCTGGAGACTGCGTGCTCCATCCGAGCATTAAGACGTCCACTAAGAAAGGGTGGCACAGCAAGGTGGTGGCACAGTGGTGATGCAGGACCCAGACGGGAAAGGCCCGGGGTTCGTGGCCTGGGCCGCCCTCGGAAAGCTGGGCATGCCCGTGCTCCCACCGGGACGGGGAGGGACGCACAGGGAGACCGATGATGAGTGCCTACTGCCCTGCCTGCCTCTCCCACGGAAGAGACAAACAAGCTTCAGGAAAAATCAACTAGGAAACAAAAATGCAGTGTGGGCTAAGGCTGCCCAGCACTCGTCTGGAGTTGTAACTTCCAGACGAAAGCTCGGCAGCACACCCCAACGCCTCTTCACAAATGAGGTGCTTCCAGCACGACTCTGCGTAGTGCAGCGCAGGCTCCAATGTCGTCTGCACCCCTGCCTGCGGACCCGGCACACGCGTGTGTCCTGACGCAGTGGGCCGCAGCATACAGGTAAGGGAACACTGTTACATGTCTTGTTTTCCTTTTGCAAAGGACTGCAGAGCTCCATTTTGGCTACGTAAAATAAAACACTACGGGGGGCCGGGAAGTGGTGGGGTGGCAGGGGCTGGCCGTGGGGAGCCCCACACCGGGCAGCTTGCTTGCTCACGTTCCCTTTCTCTCTCTGTCTCTCTCTGGGCAAAATAAATATTAATTAATTAATTAAACAAATAATTATTTTAAAAAACACAATGGAGATAGCGTTTTACCTGCTTGAGAAAGCGGTCCGAGGCGTTGCTGTGTTTGACCAACACACTGGGCAGGGCAGGATTTGCATATTCAAACTGAGGATTGTAGGCATAGTCGGACTTGAAGAATTTCAGTTTTTCTTTCTCCAAGTTAGTGGGCTTTATCGCAGTCAATATACAGAACTTCTTTCCAGAAAAGTCCGCTCTCTCGAAGCTTCGAGACAGCTGCGGCTGCTGCCTGGGCTTGGGCAGGGAGGACAGACGGTGCCTCGGCCTGCCCTTGGTCTTGGGCTTCGGCGGCAGCACGATGCTGCTCCCTGTAACAGAGATGTCACGCGTGAACCTAACAGGACTGGACCCCAGACCCGCAACAAAGACGGCGGGCC